CTCTAGGAACTCCTGGGACACAGCAGCAACTTCTCCTTCCAAAAGAAGAGGTGGTTTGTTTTTCTCCAAGGGAATCCAGCCGCATAACTTCTTCTCTTCCTTCCATTCCTTCCTGCTCCGCTGCATCTGCCTTTCCAAGTCCCGCCTTCCACAGGCTCTCTCCCTGCTCATCTTTCCTCACCAAGCTGGATTTACACCCTCCTACTTTCCCCAGTCCATCAGATCTGTTCTCCCCTGCTATTGGCTCTGACACAGAGCGGCAAGACCAATCAGAGGCTTCTATTAGAGCCTCCTCTCTGGCAAATACTGTGTTAGCCTGCCACCTAGCATTGCCAGTCGGTGAGGCAAAGCCAGGTGGCATCTGGGTATGGGATGAATTCTGGGGTATCGCAAGGAATTGAACCTGCTGAGTATTAGGATATCAGTCACTTGCAGGACTGGCCCAAAACATTTTGCCAAGGCTGAGACAGAATCGTAGATGCCATCATACCTCCCCAAGTCAAGGTGGAATGGCTGGCTGTTATTTTGATAGGCAGAGAATCCTACAAATATCTGCTCCCCTTCTGCGTGTATGAGTGTGTATATTTACACACCCACCCACACACTTGGAATACATTTAAATAACTGCTTTGTTCCATGTTCATGTTGCTATCTCTACCTAATGGTAGGGCTGGCTGTGGTCACATGTTAATATCCAATTTTTCATCAAGGGCCTATGCTGGGGCTCTGACCGGATTATCAGACAAGCAGGGGGCATTGAGGATTGAGAGTTAGAGGGTGGAAAGTTGCTTAGAAACGTTTCCCTCCTGAACTTTTCCCAGGCTTCCCCGTGGAAATACACATATATTTTAACTAACAGGTTCCACAGATCGACAAAGTTTGAAAATCCCTGACATAACGCGTACACTGTCCCATAGGGAGCATACCACCACAGAAGGGATCAGTGGTGGCCCCACTGATCAGCTTTATGCTTCCAATGGGAGGTTATGTGGAGCAGATGCAGAACCCTACTTGCCATATGACAAATCCTTTTCTCCCTTCTCCCAAAAGAAGTGCTGATGTATTTTGTTTTCCCCACACTGCCGAAAGAGCACAGTATGCCTACTTATGTGTTACTAGCCATCACAAGTACCTGTATCTCATGGAGTAGGATGTAAGAGTGTGGTTAGTATGGCTCCATAGTACAATACCCTTCTTTGCAAATATTGTAGATCAAAATTTCCAGCATCATTTTTTCTCTCTCTAGTGGACCTCATATCCAGATGTGTTGGGGATGCAGTTCAACTGGGATGGATTTTACAAGGAGGTTGGAAGTGCCTTTATTGGAAGCAGTCCTGAATTTGAATTTGGCCTTTATTCACTGTGTTTCATTGCTCGACCTGGAAAAGTGTAAGTATATTGCTAGGGCCAGGAGTTATTTTCACTGCAGTTAAGATAGCAAGATGCAGCCAATCTAGGATGTTCTGGAAGCCAATGCACGGTTTGGATGTTCTTCCTCCCATGTATCAAAGTATATAAAGTATTTAGATTCTGAGTGAAATTGGATCTTTCTTTCAAGTGAAAGGAAAGCTTCAATTCATTCAACTGTTCTCAGGAGCAGAGTTAACAAGCAGAGAATGAACTAGCAATCCTACATCTATACCACCTGACATCTGTTATGAAAAGGTCTGTTACTTTGGAAGATAAAAGTTTCATTTAGCTATCTTAGTCAATTGGTGGTAGTAGACTCAGCCCTCATGTTAAAGCCTGTGGAAGGTAATGGCTATTGAAACATCTCAAGATCTTTCCAACTCATGGTTCAAGGTAGAGTACAAGTTCTGAATTTCTCCACTAGTGTTCAGGCAAATAACCTTCATGGTTTAGGAGTAGCACATCTTACTCCTAGCAGGACGTCACAGCCTCAAAGCATGAGTCACATCAGTGGGTTCATTACAAGCAGTTTTCTCTGTGGAGGTTCCCTGAACAGTGTTACTCACAGAAGATCTTCTGAATTAATACTTTTCTTGAAGAGGTTTCCAAGTGGTGAACCAGACAGCATCCATAATGATGGTGCTACAGAGAAAAAGGGAAATTGTTGATGGTGAGGCAGGAGTTGCAGTAGCTGGCTTGATTCAGCCAGTAATCTGAATCAATTCTAGTCTATTCTAAATAACTATCTAGAGCTTCTATTTAAGAAAGGTGATTATATGCCAATTTTCTACCCTTCAGGTGTCATCTGAAAGCTGGAGGCCACAATCTGAATATCCAAACATATACTTGGGATAAATCCACCTATGACAATGGCAAAAAGTATATTGGCACAGCTTATGTGGTTACCCCATGAGGCTGCAAGATAAAAAAACAAAAAAAACAAAACTCCTGAATGACCCAAATGCAGTCCAGAAGACATCCAGTGTTAATCTCTCTTCACACCATTCCAGCAAATGCTCTACGTTATATGTGTTCTTTGATCTTTTGATGTTGTATTAGTGATAGATGGAATGGGTCATAGGTCTTGAGATTAGAAATCTGCAGTCTTTGGAAAGCTATAGTTCAGCTAGAAGGCACAGATACCAAGTAACTTTTTCTGGAGATGATACAGGTTTCACATAAAGTAAAAAGAGAATGGATGGTGAGATAACATTTGATAAAACAATGAACAATAGGCAGGTTCTGAACATTTCTAAAATTGCCAACTATTGTCTTTTCCTTGAAATAAATCTGCTTTCTATTTAGACAGAACAGAATGAAGAAACTTTGCAAGAAGTTGCATGTGTGTGTGTGGATGTATACACGCATACACGCACACACGCACACACAAACATTTCAATTCATTCATTTATTCATTCATTCATTCTCAGGCAGGTTGGCAAGATTAGCTACTCAGATAGCTACTCAGATATGGGGACAAAAAGGAGATCTGGAAGAGAATCTAGATCAGTATTTAATATAACCACATGAGATATCAAAAAAAAAAAATCTTTAAGAATGGTACTTAACTCCTGTCTCTGATCCATTGAGTTGCTGATTCCTTTACTGGTATATTGTTTAAAAAAAACAACCAGTTGACATGTACCTGCCGTGTCACAGAAACTGGCACAAGTTTAATCCTCTTGCGTTTTTTGAATTCCTCCCCTGCCACTGACCAGCCTCCAAGCAGCATTAAAGTTGAGTAAACTAAGAAATTGCACTAAAAGTTTAACATTTATGTTCAGAATGTTGCTGAGCCATGAACCAAGTGACTAGTCTTTGACTAAGTTACCATTTCTCAGGTCTGATCTGTCTATGGAGAAAATGATCTCCTACCTACCTCACAGGGCTGTTGTGAAGTTGTAAAAAACTGATGGCAAAAAAAAATAATAATAATAAAAATGCAAAATATTATATATTAATAGTAATACAATGCTTCTGTATTATTTTGGTTACTGAATCACTGTTTGAATAACTTATTTTTAACAATTAGGATATTTACATTAGGCCATTAATTATTATTATATTATTATTTGGTCTGCCTAAAGATATGTGTATCTTGCAGCTCTACAGCTTCTTCAAATTTTCTCTCTGAATTTGGCAGAGTTTAATGTCAACATTCAGTTGAAACTTGATAAAATGTCCAATAAATTCAAACTTGGTGTAGTGAAAACTGTGTCCTATTTGATTGATTCTATGGCATTCCAAGTCTAATCTCAGGGAAGGAAAATATGTAACTGATCTTCAGAGATCTATTTCAGTTCAAAAGCCAAAGATTCACAAGTCTCTATTTCTGAAGCAGCCTGTCTGTCCCACTGAGCTGATAGCTGGGATGAGTAACAACCTTCTAAGCAGCAATTTTCAAGCAACATGTTTGCCAGCAAATTGGGTTCTGGGAATTTAAGTCATTATCAAGCAGCTGCAAAATAAGTATTGGGGAGAAATTCACTGATTATGCACCTGGATTTCAACTTGCTTAATTTCAGATTTCCAAATCAATACATAACCAAAACAGTTACCTTTTGAAATTCATACCTGTCTGAATTTTGCAATGAAGTTGCATCATCATCATTATCATACCATCAAATAACAACATCTGCCTATCCCAGAACCTTGGGAAGGACTTGATAGATGGATAAAAATGCCAAATCCAGTCTAAATATCTGGCTGACTGTGTGACCAACCATAATAATAAAACAGTAATAATAGATATTAGGAAAAACTCTGCACTAAAATGTCTTGAAAATTATTTGCAAAACTGAACTACATTAGGCAAAAGTGTAAATCTGAAGACATGAAGCAATATTGTCAATGAAAAACCCTATCTTAGAAGAAAGGGACACTAAAATGCATTGAATCTATAATACAAGCTTTCTTTTTAAAAAAAATCTCAGGCTAATTTACGAATGGGAAAACGAGGAGCTCAGTGAAACCAAAATCAGTAAATTCTCCCATCCCTGTGGACTCTTCCTCTTGACCACATTTGGAAGTCCATTCCTCCAGTTCCAGAACTGGCAGAAAAGCATGTGGGCATCCTTTGCATTGCCTGGCAGCTGAGCCCTAGTGATGAAGCTGCTGAATGGTATCATCCTTGCAGTTTTTGGGTGGGGTAAATTAAGGAAAATGATTGGTGGGTGCCCTTGGTTTTGCTCCCCCCCCCCGCTTCCTTCCCACCCAAGTGTCACGTTTGGGCAGGGAAAGCAAACCCCAATCGCTCTCCTTAATACGTAGTGGAGTGGGGCTGGGCCAGTGTATGCAGGTGCTTGGGACTGACTGTATAGTGCCTTTGCAAGTTGCTTAAGTAACATAGGCACAGAGGCGGGATTGTGAAAAGCCCCAAGGATGTTCCCCCTTGCTTCGCTCAGTGCCCTTCCTCTGTTTTTGCAGCCTAAATCTGGTAGCCCTATTGAATAGTCTCTCACAAATCCTATCTCAAGCAAATGGTTTCTGGGATACTATTCAGTAGGGCTACCAGATTTAGGCTGCAAAAACCCTGTCAATCATGAGATCACAACAGAGATTTTTCTACCACTTTGCTGCCATCTAATGGCCATCTGGATTTGTGCAGCTCAGATGTAGTAGGCTTAGTCATTCATGCATGTAATCCAGGCCATCAGCCACAAAATCCGTTCTTGCTTTATCTGAACAAAACACGGTTTCAAATGAATCCGGTCTCCTTGACTTCAGATGTAATAGGAAACTGTTCCCCCCATCCCCCCCCCCATTTTTCAGTCCCATTTATATGCATGCAGCCAGAAGGAGAAAGGAGGGAGAAGGAAAATGCATGAATCCAGGATTCATCGTAATCAACACCACGGTGACTGGACAATTATGAAAGCCGAAGTCTTATATTAGGGCTGGGGCTGGGGTATAATACCTAAACTGGATCACTCTGTTCAATATGATGCATTCCTAAATAAATGCATAAAGGGATTGCAACCCTGATCGTGTGTCCATGACCAATTGAATGATAGTTG